GGGGATATTATCTTTGATTACTTGGTTTAGACGTTGCCTCGAAGTTGTCTCTACTGCAAAGTTACTATTTTTGTGAGTATTTTTAAGGTATGGAATTTTGATATGATTAGAAGGCAATCTAGACCAGTGCTCTTCAATGAAGCTTTTTGTGATGATGGAATGTTCTAAGTGTTGTCCAATATGGTAGACATTGCTACATATGGCTGTTAAGCAGTTGAAATGTGACTAGTGAAACTAAGGAAATTTAAGGGGTATTAGAATACAATTTGAATTTGAAAACTTCCAGAGAACAGCCTTCACTAACGTTTCCTAAAGTGTATTTTTCAGAACACTGGTTTCTTGAAATGTTCTGAGAAAAAAGATCTCCACGGTCAAATAAATTAGAGATCATTCAGTGGAGCATACTTTAAGAAACACAGTACTATACGCTCTCATTTTGGAGTCTATACATTTTTGTTTTCTCATTTGGTCTGATGCTGTGTGTAGGTGAAATTGTCAAGCAATTGCTCTGTGAGTCCCTGAACACCTCCCCATCTGGTTTGTGTAAATGACTTACTCAACAACCCAGCGAACTCCTTGGCAATGGTGGGATTATACCCAGGCCAGTTACCTGACTCCACAAGCTGAGGTATTTCCGGTACACCATAAATGACAACAGAAAAAATGGTATCAAAGTTCAGATTGCTTCATTAGACTTTGTCTCAGGTATTAAAGGCAAGAGGTCTTTCAACACATATTACTTAGTATTTGGATTCTGTTTAAGCAAAGCAAAATCGAGAAATGTTTAGCATCCACAGAATGTGGTCTTCTCAGTCTCTTTCTAAGGGAATTAATATTGTGTTTCTTTCTAAACAGATGATATTCCTGGAATAGAGTAGTAGGTTAATAAAACCCATTGCCATGGAGTCGATTCCAACTCATAGTGACCCTGTAGGCAAGAGTAGAATTGCCACAGTAGGTCCATACCCTAGTTAAAGTAATTCAGATCAAAGATTCTCATACAAATACGGTTATCACAAGAGGGTCTTGGTAGCTCTCAAAATCCCACACATAGTCAGTCCTTGAAGGGAGTATAGAGTTGTTAGAAACTATGAGGGAAGGAGGCTGGGAAGGGAGAGAAAGGGGAACAGCTTTCAGAGACAAGGAGATCTTGAGCCAGAGACTAGAGCCAGCAATTGGCTGATTTGAATTACGAGGGGAGAGAGCTGTGTGAGTTGTCTTCTTAGTTTTACTTCAGGTGTAGTTCCTTTGGGTTAGACGAATTTCGTTTCTGTAACTGTTGTTTTGATTGGCTTACCCCAGCAGCTGAGAGCTGTGGTTTGAAGAATTCTCAAGCAAAGGGACTTTATCTGGTGGATGAGTTCAAAATTCTGATAAGATCTTAAAGGTGGTAATGAGAGTGGTTATTGTTGTCTGAAGCTATAATTCTTGAAGGCAAATTGAGTTTAAAAGCAGAAGTATTTGGAAGAATGATTTCATCCCCATTAAAATAGATTTTACTTTCTTTAAGTTACCCAGTGGAACTTGTGACCCCAAAATGCCCCCATAAGGCATTACAGATGGTTATTTTCATGTGCTGTTTGGCATATGTTCAGGAAAACCGCAGGGGAAACTTGGCTTTGAAACGCTTGTGCTTTAAGGTGTATCTGTGATACTTTGTAAAGATTTAATTTCTTGCCAAATATAACATTCACTTACCAACTGGAAGTGTAAAAGTTCATATTTTCATGAAAATCTTAGCAACGAGTTTAACAGGCCTGCTTAATTTTGTTTCAGTCATTTTTTCCATTCTTCAGGGCCTACTTAATGTACCACTAGAGGGCACTGTTGGCAGTGATATCAAGAAAAGCAAAACAGAGCACTTGGCCCCAAGTGTTGTTCAGATCTTTTTAAATTTTCATTTCAGCCAGTAAATAATAACATACACTCAAAGCTACTTTACTTCGTATTTTGTTCCTATATTTTTTATGCACCTCAAATACTCAACTTTCAGGCATTTTTAGGTGAATTAATTTAATAAAAGATAAATTATTATGAAGTTTGGCCCTGGTTTTCCAGTAAATGCTTAATCTAGAATTTGCCAAATTGCCCCTTTCCCCCTACCCCCCGTAATGTTATACACTCCTGCACATCCTCTTTTGGAATATTGTTGAAGACTCATCCTTTTTTATTTCCCAAACATTGAAATGATTCTATTTTCCAAATCATATCTTTTCTGATATTTGTCAGAGGGTCTTTGGGTGGGAAGGGACTTTCAGGTTATCTAGTTAAACCATTTATAATAGATGGATTCTTTTCTATGCACTGATGAGGGCTGTCTAAAACGAAAACTGATAACTCTATTTTGAGACAACTCTATTTACTAGAAAGTTCTTCATTTGAGGACAGAAATTTGCCTCTTTGGAATTTATTATATTAGACAAGATTCTTTAGTTGCAAGTAATAGAAACCAGATTAGGATTGCTTATGCAAGACAAGGAGCCCTGGTGGCGCAGTGGTTAAGAGCTCAGCTGCTAACTAAAAGGCTGGCAGTTTGAATCCACCAGCCACTTCTTGGAAACACTATGGGGCAGTTCTACTCTGTCCTATACGGTTGCTGTGAGTCAGAGTCAACTCAATGGCAACGGGTTTATTTGTTTGTTTGTTTGTTTTTTTGGTTTTATGCAAGACAAAGAAAAAAATGTGGAGGAGGATTTATTGTCAGGAAACAGAGAGGTCTCATGGGCTACGGATAACATGAGAGCTAGAAACTGAAGATCTGTCAGGAGTTCTTTATCTCTTAGTCTTTCTCTCGTATATGCATCACTCTGTGTCATTACTTTATTCTTTTCTCTCTGGACACAAGCTTTCTCTACTTATTTCATCTCCGTGGCAAAACACGCTGTTTGAGCAAGTAAAAATGGCCAAAGGTCTTTTTGTTACCTAAGAGTAGGCCATTCCAGAATTTTATGAGGCTAGCTGCTTCTGGATAGTGCAGTGTGTGATCTAACCAGTGGTGGAGCCCACTCCCATGCCAGCTTCACTAGGAAGGGGCCCCTGGTTGGATGCCATGCTGTGTGAGTTTCTAGGCCTGTGGATGATGCATTCTATAAGTTCTTGATAATGGTGCTGGCTGAGGTTCTGCAGGCAGGAAAGGCAAATCTGTGTCTCTGCTGGGTCCTCTGGGCTTACATAATTTTATCCATTCCAGCGCTGACTTTCTTGAGCCTCTTTATTCTTTCCTCTACCAGGGAAACTCAGGCACTTCAACTTCGCTAAGAGTTGGCCATCTTGTTTTCTAGCCTCCTAAGCAGTAGCAATTTTGCTCTATCCACTGGGGTCCTTGCTGTTGTGTTGTTGAGTCGATGCCAAATCGTAACAACTCCATGTGACAGAGTAGAAGTGCCCCAGAGGCAAGGATGGATTATCCAATAAGCAAGGTAAGTACGTGCTTAGGACATCAACAAAACAAGGCACTGGTTGTCGAAAGCAAAGACCCATAGATGCCAAGCAGACAGGACACAAGGAAAAATCAGCACAGCAGTGGAAGGGAACTGGCAGGGCACTAAATGAAATTGATAACAGCTGCAGTGGGTGAGCATGTGCAGGCTGGAAATAAAGTTCATGCAGGATCATGAGGGCACCCACGACCAAGGTTGTTTAGGCTATGAGGCCCCTACTACTTCATTGCCTTTGTTGACATCTGTCTCCTACAGTCCCTTCCCATGTTATTGAAACTGTTTATCTTGGCAGGTCTCTTGGGAGTATACTATTATCTTTCCAATAAACAAGGTGGGGGTGAGCAGTCAAGTCTAACTCTTGCTACATTCACCCAGTATGCAACTGGATCTGACATGAGTGGTTACTGGCAAGGATTGATTATATTAAAAGGTAACAGGTCTCTGACCCATTTTGAGAGAACTGTTTTGTACATCCACATCTGATGATCCAGCAACTTGAGCCAGGAGGGCCAGCAGTGCTCTTTGCCATGATACAAACACAACGGTATGCTCTAGTGCATGTCCTGGTAAACAACCAATGGGAACTCCATCCAGTCCCCGATGACACACTTGATAACGCTAGGGAACTCCAGTAAGTGGACCATTGCACTGAATTCAATTTAGTTACTTTTTAACTATAGCATTTATGCACAGAGTTATGTCATAAGTTTTATAAACAATAATTATAACTTTAACATTGAAATATGTTTGGCATATTCATGGACACAATCTAATGCATTTACTATAATACTAACATAGGTAATAATTTATTATAATATTAGCATAGCAAATGTCCAAAAATACTGGAAATATTAATAATTAACATGAAAAGCTTTTATTTATGTATCAAGTGAGTTTTGTTTTTTATTGTCTGTTGCATGGGACACAGTGCTTGATATCACTCTAAATATGCTAATAAATGAGATATTAGGCACAATAAGAGGATGCAAAATTTAATATTTATTTATCATGCAAAGTAGTTTGTTTTGCAATAATGAGTGTGTCTCTAAATTCATCTTCCAGGAAAGCAATAAAAGGCATTTATGAGAACATTACATTTACATTTTATCAGAATATTTTCATATCCCTGTGTAAGGAAATTGAACAATTCCTTCAGGAAATAAATGAATATTTAGATAATAAAAATTATATAAAAGTGTTTTATTTTCCATTTCCCTTCAGATTGACTTTCTTTTAAGAAATTGATTGATATTGTTATGACTCGCAGAACAAACTTGCTTGTTGAGAAGTGGTACTATTGTTACATCAATTGTGTATGTATCTCTGAATATGGGAGTTGAATAATTCCACAAAGAGATAAAATGTACATTCTATAAATATTGTACACGATGATTGTATTTTCCTTTTCATTTCGGACCGATCAGGTATAACCTCACGTAAGTTCTCTCTCGTCAACTACGTTAGAATGCGCCAGCGGCACTATAATCACGTGACTCATGACGTGTATCTGGTTTTGTACTGCTCAAAGTGAACCAAAACGCATCTTCACATTGAGCATACCCTTGTACTTGTATCATGTTCTTTGCAATCCCTCTCATGCCCAGTCGGATATCAGCAGTAGTCCAATGAACTGAAGGCAGAAAGTGAGTGTGCAAGTTTTTAAGTATTTTTTCGATGAAAAACACTTGTGGAGGTCTGTGAAGAGCCTGCCAACAAACATCGTATGATAAACAAATGAAATTATTTCCAACTACCTTGTAAGTACTGTTTCTTTTGACTATCTGCGCATGCTGTATCAATGAGTGCAGTCCTGGAATTGTACACTCAGATTCTAGATGCCTTAAAAGATACTGCTGAAGACCAGACACGAAAAGGAAATACCAAAAGGGAAGCTGAAGACACTGCCACCACAGTGCAAACACTAGAGTATGTTCTTAGGTTGGTTATGTGGGATACTATATTGCAGCATTTTCATTGGACGAGTCGAGCTCTCCAAACAGTCAGAAGTAAAATTAAAGACATGCACAGATCTCTACCAGTCATTACAGGATATGTACATAGTTTAAGAGAAGACTTTGAAAACACAACAAAACAGATCCTGCCAAATACAGATCATCAAGCAGTTCGCCATTGCAGAAACATTAGAAGGAAACAAGTAAATGACAGAAGTGCTCCAGAAGTATTGAGTGACAGAGATCAATTTCATGTAACCATGTACGACACCATCATTGACACACTTGCAGAAAAAGAAGGGTGAAAGTGTATGAATCTCTTTCAAATAGATTTTCCTTCTTAAACAATGTGGATATACCTGATGAAGAATGCATAAAGGCATTCAAGAAATTAGTGCAGGTTTATCCCAATGACTTAAATAGAAACCTTTATGGAGAAGTGTGACAATTTCGTTCTTACATGAGAACTAAGTTTACAGATTAAGGAAAGACAGATTTCACTCATGTAGGTATGTGTGATTCCATAATAGAAGATAAAATACAATGCATATTTTCCAATATTGAAATTGCTTTGCGTATATTCCTAACTTTAATGATCGCAAACTGTACAACAGAATGCTCATTTTCATCCCTAAAGAGATAAAAAAACTCTCAGCATACAACAATGATTCAAGAAAGACTTGATTTATTATCCTTCTTATGTATGGAAGTAGATATTGTTCAACAGCTTAATTGTGATGAAATCATTGAAGAATTTGTAAGAGCAAAGAATAGAAAATGTTTTTAATTATAACATGTTAGAGATGAAAGATCTATCTAAAAATAAAATATAGTAATTTGTTGTAATATTTGTTTTCTGATCATTAAATTTTATTTTATGACATCTTTTTTATTTTTAATTATAGTATTTATTATGAAACAAGCATCAAAATTGAAGTATGATCCATTTAAAGCAAAATCGGTGGAAGTCAATTTTTCATTGTGGGAGATTAACAGAATTTTACATTGATTGTTGAAACAACTAAATTCACTGACTCATTTTGTTTGTTGTAGAATATGTGGAATATTCTTTTTAAATTTTTTTTTATTGTACTTCAGGTGAAGGTTTACAGAACAAATAGTTTCTCATGAAACAGTAGTACACATATTGTTTTATGACATTGGTTAACAACCCCACAACATG